TCGGCATTTCAATTCTGCTTTTTCAGCTGGCATCTTTGAACCTCTTTGAACTCTTCCCTTTCCCACAGCCAGCTCCAAAGTCTCCTTGAACTGTATGGCCAGATAATATCACACAGTGACCCCACTTCTGGTACTAAATTCTCTTAGTTGCTTTTCTTATTGCTGAGGCAAAATACCAGATGCCCTAAGGTAAAAGGGAAAAGGTGTATTTAGTTCACAGTTTGTCAAAGTTTCAGTCCATAATTGGTTGGCTCTAAGGCAGGGGGCACATGGCAGAGGGACAACTGTTCATGGTTGTGGAAGACAGTGAACAAAGGTAAGAGGAGACTCTGTCCTTTATATTGTATACAGGCTGCTCACTTTAGGGTGGATATAGTGCTCACACTCATAATCCCAGCATTGGACCATGAATCAATCACACACACTAGATCAGCCATTTGTGAAAAGCCTGCCCTCAACACTGTATGGCTTTGGGGGCATATAGACTCCAACCAAAGCATAGTGAATGTCACCCACACTAGAACAAAATTTTGTGTTTCCGAAATAACCATTATCGCAGAACTGTATTCTGTAGTAGAAGGTGTTTCCTGTGGAAACAGTGTCAACTAGTACAGAGTCACAACTATCAGTGCCCCATGAGGAGTGCCACTAGTGAGTGGGCTGAGGACTCTGAAGCCATTCATGGCCCATTAGGTCAGGGAAGCCTTTGCTGAGTAGTAAGTAGTAGAGCTGGTCTTCAAGGATTGTCTTGATGTCCCATGGGGCAAATAAGGGTTGGAATGAGTGAAATCCTTGGTGGAGTTTGTACCTATTTGTCAGAGGTTTCCTTCATTATGTGGTGTATGGGTTGAAGAGTCTTCTGGTGTTCTACCAGGAGAGCTTTGCTTTCAACTCTAGGAGAGATCAGCTATTTTCTCTTCACTCAGGAGGCCAGGAGGAGTTGGGCAGGGAGTCATAGAACCCTGAGGACCTCCTTGTGTGAGTTTCAGAGTGTTCAGTTGTGTAGCCCTCTGGTAGAAGGGGGGTTTGGATGAGAACACTGCATGGGAAAGGCTCTGTTGTTCTGGACTTCAGAGTCATGTGACTTTGGAAGACATCATGAGACATGGAGGTGTTGCTTATACTTTTGCTGTGCTTCTGATTAGCAAGGATATATCTGTACTAACCACCTGGGAATCTCAAAGCCTGGCTCATGGGAAGAAAAGCAGAGACGATCAGTCCAGTGTCTTGACACACTGATTTTGGTGGAAGGTAAAGTTTAGCCCACCTCCAGGCCCCATTGTGATCACTTGGTTTTTGATGGCCTCTGTGGTAGTTATGAATGTCTGGACTTCCTTGTGCATGTAATCCAGAAGTGAAAACTGTACCTGAGAACACTGTTAGCCTTTAAGCTCAAACTACCAGTTGAACGAAAACTGGGTTCTCTCAGACAAACAGTAATGTAAGCTAATTAGTATAAGGCTGTGAGGCCCAAGTTATGCTTCCACTTACATAACCTATTCCTTAAGGTTCCTTTATCCTGCATTTATCGAGCATTTCTTGAACATGTTGCTGTACTAGGAGGTAGAGATTGGCCCTTGTCCTGGATAACTTTCTATCTAATGGGGCAGTGTTATGGTTTGTGTCTAGGTATCCCCCTAAAGCCTCATGCTGTCATGGGGTGGCTTCTGGAGTTTATGATTGATTATTGTGGGAGTTGATGCTGTACCTTCCTTGGGCAGGTAATTTGCATTACAATGTAAGGAGAGGAGAGAGGCTAGCTAGCTCCCTGAGCTGCCGCCACTTCCTTTGCTCTCTGCTCTTTGCTGCTGTGAAAGGCTGCTCTCTGCCTTGTGATGCTTTGCCTTGGAGCCAGCTGAGTATGGACTGAAACCTCCCGTAACTGTGAGCTAAATAAACCTTTCCTTCCTTCATTTTGAGTGTGGGGTATTTGTCCCAGCAATGAGAGTAGAGTAACTGAGACAGGCAGGAACACACAGATGTATTATTATAGTAGAGATTATCTCACAATGTGACAAACACTGCTCTTTGTACTTACAGGGCTTCCAAGAAGTCTTGAGTATACAGAGAACTAAACAATATTTATTAAGTGGTTGTCAGGCACAGTAGCATCAGATGCCATGCTGACACTGTGACAGTGACTCCTTCCGGTGACCATCATCCCATTTTACAGATGGTAGTTCTGGAGTACAGGAGCGCAAGCTACAGGCTGTGTTTTCTGACTCCAAGTCTGGTGCTCCTCTCAGGATTTTCTGCTGCCTTTTAGCCAGCAGGGCTGCTCCTCAGAGCCAGAGCTCTGAGCCAGACAAACAGAAACATCTCCTCCACTGTTTCCATGGAAATGGCCAAATTGTCCCCTGGCTGGAGCCAACTAACAATGGCCAGACCAAGACATGTAATAATAATATCGCAAATTTTTGAAAGGAGTATGCCGAACGCTGAATAATTAATGTTGTGATTTGACCTTCTGCCTCCACAACCATACACTTCCTCAGACAGTGGTGTAACGAAGGCTCCTGAGTAATTAATTTTGCCTAAACACATCACGAGCAGGAAGCAAATTTTGTGCTGTGAACTCAGTTCAGCTCTTAAAACTGGAGATAGATTGCTGTTGCACACTGGCACCCCATCACAACATCTGTGTGTAATTAAGCCTCAGCAAACAGTTTACCTCTCAGTGTGTGAGGTGTCTTCCAGTGCTTGTGTAAGGTTTAATAACCTCGGCCTTCTACTGTAAATCTCTGTGCCCCAGACAGGCACTACATGGGAATAAAGTGTCCAGGAGACTGGAGAGAGGTGGGCAGGGCAGCCAGGCTGAACAGTCAAGAAGACAGCTGGGGACAGGGCAGCAGGGAGGAGCCTCAGTCCTGGTCATGGACCCAGTGGAGATAAGCGTGTGTTGGTGAGTGGAGGTTTGTGATGGAGGGTCCACTATGTGGTGAGGTTTCTCCAGGTTCCTTCCAGTGCTGTGAGGACTCTGCAGAGTCCTGTGGGACTCCTGCATAGGACTCTGCAGAAACTGTGGACAAAACCCAGGGGTGTTGTGCTTTTGAAGAAGCATCATAGCTTCCTAGAGTCATGCAGATTAACAGCTACTCATGTATAATTAGTAGTTAACATTTTGACATGCTTTTACTGTGTTAGATATTTTTAAAATGCTTTGCATGTATTTACTTTTTAACTGTTTTAACAGCCCTACAAGGGAGCTGCTTTTTTGCACCCAGGACCTTCATATTGAGCTATATCTTTGGCCCTTTTTCGTGTTTTATTTTGAGACAGGGTCTTGCTGAGATGCTAAATTGCCTAAGCTGGGCTTGAACTTGTAATCTTCCTGCTTCAGCCTCCCAGAGTGCTGTGATTATAGGCATGTGCCACCATGTCTGGCTGGGTGGTGCTATTCTTAACTTCATATCTATTTGGGGAAACTGAGGCCCAAAGAGATCAATCATTTATCCAAAATTACACAGGATTCCAGTAAGGGGCTTGTCTCAGTTGCTCTTCTCTTGTGCTAGGTCAAATACCTGACATTCAGAATTAGGGAAGTAAAGGTTTATTTAGCTCATAGTTACTGGAGGTTTCAGTCCATAATCAGATGGCTCCAAGGCAGAGCAGTATATGGCAGAGGGCAACCTTTCATGGTGGTGGCAGAGAGCAAAGGGAGTGGCGGCAGCTCAGGCAGCTAGCTAGCCTGTCTCTTCTCCCTACATTGTGATGCAAATTACCTGCTCAGGGAAGGTGCAGCATCAACTCCCACAATAATCAATCTCAAACTCCAGAAGCTATCCCCCTCATGTCCCCCCCCAGCATGAGGCTTTGGGGGGACAATTAGACACAAATCATAACAAGCTTTGAGTGGAGACGCCCTGGTTTGGAGTCCATGCTTCAAACTACCATGCTCCTCTACCTTTGTGTGTTTCATGGGAAAGACAAATTACTGTGGACCATCTGCAGGACCATCAGTCCTGGTGTGGCTCAGAATGCCTGTGATTCACTATATGACAGTCATGAGGGCAGCTGATGTTTGTCTACTACTTTGTCAAGTATGCTGCTGTACTAGTAGGAAGTGGTTATAAAACTGGATCAGAAAGGCTGTAAAACTGACGCATAGTCACACAGCTTGTTAGGAGGCAGAGTCATGGCCCTGCTCAGCAGTCTGACTACAGGGCTGCACTCAGCCTTGCTGAGCTATGACTAACAGGAGGACAAACCAAAGCATAGAAAGAAATACCAGTACAAGGTCAGGCCACACTGGGGTAGAAGCCTCCTGGAGTCATGGGTAGAACTTTCCAGAATCTTCCTTCTTCCTTAGGGTCAACATTAGCCTCAGAATGGGAGCCCACTGGTAAAACCCTTGCTCGTTGGTAGGCAGGCAGGCAGACCATGGTCTTCAGCCAGGTGTGACTGCACCCTAAGTATTTGTGTTGGGTTTCAGGGGAAGCGGGGTGTTTGGTTTTCATCTTTGATCCTTCCGTTCTTTGAGAGAAGAAGCAGAGTGGAGAGCTGAGGGGGAGAGTCTGTGATGTAAACTTTACCACACTCCAAGCCCTCCTGCCTGCCTGATGACTTGCAGGGCAAGTCACCTTCCTGACCGAGGGAGGAATAGCTGGGCATTTTGCAGTCATAGTCCTGAGGTATCTGTCCGTGGCCCTCCCTGACCTCCCATGATGAGTCCCTCTGTTGCCCTGGTTTGGTATTTCTGTCATTTCAGACCTGATCAGTGGGCACAAAAGGCACATTCTATGGTCAGGCTGCTGGTCACAGCAGAGGGAGCAGAGATAGAAGAGGGTGTCCCCACACACCGACCCTGCCTTGGGTCCTCCTTCCATGGTAGCTGTCCTGGGGTCCTCGATTGGATCCTACTAGTAGAATAACCTCCTGTCTTCAAAGCCCCAACCCCACCACCAAGCTCAGTTTTCTGAACAGAAGGAAGAAATTTGCTCTAAATGACATCCCTCTCACCTAGAAATCATGGACAAAACAGCAAATGAATTTATACCTTTTTTTGTTTTTTTTTGTAGTACTAGGGATCAAATCTAAGGCCTTAAGCTTCTAGGCAAGTGGTTTACCACTTTTTATTTCATTTTGAGACAAGTTCTCCCTAAGTTGCCCAGGCTGGCCTCAGACTTTTAATCCTCCTGCCTCAGTCTCCTGAGGAGTTGAGATCACAGACATACACTATTAAGCCCACTTAGGTTTATTTTTTCAAAAAGGTGCTTTTTGAAAAATTTCAGTCAAGCCTACATTTTAAGTTTAGAGGAACAGATAGTCACAGATTTTGCTACTGGCCCAGATTTACAAATGGCAAAGCTCAAAAGAAATGGCAAAGCAAGAGAACACCTTGGAAGGTCAGGCATGGTGGTGCACATCTGTACTCCCAGCACTCAGGAGGCTGATGCAGGAGGATCATTGTGAGTTCAAGACCATCCTGGACTACAAAGTGAGCTGAAGGCTAGCTTGAGGTTCATAGTGAGACCCTGTCTCAAAGAAAAACAAATAAACATTGAAAAGAGAGAGAGAATACCTTGACATCAGATGGAGCGTTGGTTCTAACCAGGGTCTTTGCTTATGTGTAGGGGCTCCTGTTACCTTCAGGACCCCTTCTTGTGTGGAGCAGAAACAGCTTCTTGCAGTGGGAAGACTGAGCCCTAAGGAGTTAAGTGACTGAGCCAAGTACAACAGTTTCCATCAGGATTGGGAATAAGAAGTAGCTCTCTGATTGAGGGCCAGATCTTGTTGCAATTTCCCTTAGTTTGGAGCACTAAGGCAAGGGGAGATTTATTCTCCAAAACCTTTGAATTAACTGGTTTTGTTTTTTATTTACAAGAGAAATAAGCCCACCGCAGCAGTGAGGAATCAGCGCGCAGAAGGCTGTCTGGCTACCGTGTCCTGAAGGCTGTCGCCCACTCACGTGGCGTCATGATGGCCTCAGTACATTCAGACTTCTTGCCTGCTCCTGGGGGATCTGCTCTCTTGTTGGCTTCACATGTTCTCAGAATCAGGGGGAATTAGCTTATTAGTTAATATTTCAGTTGTTTCCAGACAACTGAAAGCCCCATTTATAGCATCTTGAACATGGCAGCAAGCTTTGCAGCAGTTGCCTGTAGATATCATTTTAGTAGTTTGATAGTATTGCAGCTGTCATCTCTGATTTTCCTGGATTTGTCTTCATGGTTGAAAGATGGCTGCTGCAGCTCCAGAAATTGCATTCACTTTTAAAGCAGGATGAGGAAGAAGTAGTTCTGTTCCAAAATCCTTTCCTAGGGCCAGGGAGATAGGTCAGTGGAATAAGAGCTTGCCTAGCAAGCACAAGATCCTGAGTTCGATCCCTGGTACCACTAAAGAAAAAAAAAATCCAAGATCTTTTCTTAATCAAGAAAATAAAAAACTTTCTTTGAATTGCCTAGCAAACTTCTGCTTAGATTTGGTAGGCCGGAACAGAATCATATGGCTACACCTACTGAAAGGCCAGTAGGGAAAGCATTCTTTTTCATCTCTGATGAAGAGGAGGATTGGAAATAGACATTAGGCTGAGATCCAGCATTGTGTCTACATAGGACTTGTGGGAAAATGACAGGAGAGACAGAACTTAGCATCAGGCAAGACCCATCTGTTTGCTCTTTACCTACACCACATCTATCTCCTGGTAAGAAAGTTTGGGGCTGGGGCAGAGTGTTTGTGAGCCCGCAGTGCTCAGTGGGGGCAGCAAAGGGGATGGCTTCTGACCCCAGTGCCCAGGGTGAACCTCTTTGTGTTTCCCCCCAAGGGCCAGTGTAGAAGGCATTAAGCAGGTGGGGTCTGTACAGGTGTGGGCAGGTGGGGTGCAGCCTTTCTTTCTGGGCTGGGTCCCCTCAAGCCCCCTGTGGGGAAGCAGAGCCTGCCTGCTGTTGTCTGGCCTGAGTTGCTGTGCTTCGCTGTGGTCCTGGCCCTGTCCACCAGCCTCTCCTGATGTGAGTGGCCTTTCTCCTTGCAGGTTCCCCGGATCCACTGGGAGCTGTCCACCAAGCGAGTGCTGCTGATGGAGTTTGTGGAGGGCGGGCAAGTCAATGACAGAGCCTACATGGAGCGGAACAAGATCAATGTAGATGAGGTGAGTCTGGGGCACTGCTGGTGCGTAGGACGTAGGGTTGGCTGGGTGAGGCCTCGGGTCCACCCCACTGCCCATTGTCTGAAAAATGACAAATGGAGCACAGAGGATCCTTCCGGTTCACCTTGTCCAGCTGGTCACACATAGTGAGGATGGGCACATGGTTCTCCCAGCTGCTCCTGCCTGGCTCAGTCATTGCCTGTCTTTGTCCTCCTGGGTCCCACATAGCTGAGTGGCCACAGGCATAGTGTGGCAGAGTCACGGGTCCTAACCCTTATCCTTCCCTCCCCATGCCACTGCCCAGGATGCCGGTACCAAGCAGTGAGGAGGACCCCAGTAACCCTTTGGGTCTGCTTGGCAGAGGAAGGGAAATTGTGGAGCTTGTGTCTCCTACCTCTGTCCCTTTGGTCCTTGTACTTTATCTTCTGCTTCCTGGTCACCAGGAGATAGTGGGTATTTGCCCACAATACTTATCATTGTCGTAGGCCTTGGGGCTAGGTGTAGGGTTGAGAGGGGAACCAGACTCAATCCTGGCACTTGTGCTGGATCAGCTCCATGCCAGGCAGAGGAAGGGAAGGTGAGGGCTGAGGCAGGTTTCCTGGGACCTGCTGGAGATGCAGATTCCGGAGGCTTGGGCATGACCCAAGAGGTTTTTGGGTGTCATTGGAGCATTTGGACATGAAAGATCAAGGCAGTGACACGGTCTGCTTGGGGCAGGAAGGACTGGAAGGGCCCAGACCCACCGGGGTGAGTGCTCTTCCTACTCACCCTCCTGCGCCCGCTCACACCAGGCTACACATGGGCGTGCGTATAGGCTCCCAGTAGTGAAATGGTCAAGAGGAGAAAGCAGGTGACTTGTTGGGAAGTTGTAAGGCCTCCTGGTGGCTGTAAGGCTCTATAAATGGGGACCACAATGGTATATACCTCTGAGGGGTGGCGTGGACTACATGAGTCATGGACCTTGCTTAGCACGGGCCTTCCGTGTAGCTGGCACTGCACAAGGGTAGCAGGGTTTGTTACTCTCTTCATTGTTACTATTGGTGGCTCCTGTTCTTTGCTCCCTTCCTTTTCTCACTAGTGATTTTGATCGCCTAACTTCTTGTGTTAGGTTCTTTGTCCATCATAAGCCCACAAGGGAGGTCTTACTGTCTCCATTTTGTAGATGAAAAATATAGATAATTGGAGACAAGAAGTAGTTTGCCTCTGATTGGAATCCATTCCTCCCTGAGCCTGCGGTTCCCTTTAGGCCACGAGAGGAGGGGCAAAGTGTGTTGAGCAGCTGCAAGAATAGGCCTGGGTGGCTGCGGCTGGCTCAGGCCTTTAGCTAAAGCTTTGTTCCTGCTGTGGAGACAAGGAGCTCCAAGAACGTATTTGAGGGCAGCTTTCAAGACACAGAGACCATCCCACCCCCAGCTTGCTTCAGTGAGCTCTGCTTCCTGGAGGGCCAGGATGAGATGAAGAGTAATTCAACTTCTACTTCAGAGTTAGGGAGAAGAGAGAGGGAGGGAGGGAAAGACAGACAGACAGACAGACAGAAAGACAGACAGAGAGACAGAGACAGGGAGACAGAGACAGAGACCATGTAGATAGATGGTCACTGTTAGTAACAATGGGCTGCTCCTTCTTCTTCTTCTTTCTCTGCTCTCTCTTTTCTTCTTTTAGTTTCGTCTTTCATGCTGAGTTGCATCCCAAGCCCTTTCTAATTTTTTGTTTTGAGACAGGATCTCACTAAGTCACACGGGCTGGACTTGAACTTAGAGTCCTCCTACTTACCCTCCCAGAGTGCTGGGCTGTGGTGTCAGTGTGCCACTGCACTCTGTAAGCACCCGGGCTCCTGACTTTGCTCCCTCTGCGCTTGGTTCCCGGGGTGGTGTGTGGCAAGGGTTGGGCAGGGGACTGAGTATTTGGCTGTGCTGTATGGAAGAGATGTGGTGGGAGGGATGGGTGGTCACCTCCTTCAGGGGGCACAAGGACTCTGCCTGCTCTACAGGAGGGACCTGGAGGCCTTGGCCCTGATCAGTTATTAGCACTGTGGCAGGGTATGCATTCCAGTGCCCCAAATCCACTCGTGTCTGGGTCCAGGGAGCCAAGGCCCTAGCCATGTTTAGTCAGAGGCAGATTTAATTTTCCAGGAAGAGAGCATAGCTGGAGAGAACTGCTCTGCTGCTGCTGCTCGTGGTGGAATGAGGCACTAATGGCGTTGGGCGCCGGCAGGACGCTCAAAGGCTGGGCTGCTCTGCTCCTGCCACACTCTTCTAGTTGTGCTTTGCTGACACAACCTACATCTGGTGGGCAGGCCTTGGTCACCATCCTGAAGTCAGTGGTGTGGGGGACAAGGCAGCCCTAGTCCCTGGGTAAGAGTGTTGGTGGTTTTTTGTGGACAGAGAGGAGACCTGCTGGAAACCTAGCATGTGCCAGGGTTGTGGGACACACACCCAGCACTGCTCGTTATATCCATTACTAATAACAGGCATTACTCAATGGGAAGCTCGAGCTCAGAGAGGCTCAGGAGTATGCAGCCCGCAGGGGAAGAAGCGGGGTTGAACTCAGGCTCATGGGACGCTGAAGTCCTTTTCCCTCCACCTTCTGTGTCTCCCTCTGGAGCTCAGCGTCAGCCTGCAGTGGGACCTGGTGCCAGCTGGTTCATGACCACACCAGCAACTGCACAAGGGAGGTGCAGCCCTGCCCAGAAGCCTTGCCAAGTGGCAGCCGAACCATCGTTGATTTTGTCGTTGGTGGTGGTGGCCCTGTGGTGCCTTCCTCTCCTCCTTCCCCATGAGTGCTCACTGCTGCAGCCCTTGCACCAGGCCCTCTACACAGCCTTCAGCAGGAGGGCTGTGGGCTTCCCTGTGCGGGTGAAGAGTCAGGGACTCGGGGAGAGAGTAATGTACTTGTGGCCACCAACCTTAAGGGCACATTTGCTGAGTTTTATGTGAATATGCCGTGCCATCACCATCCAGGTAAGATGCAAACCATTTCTGGGGAGCTCCCTCTTGCGCCCTCCCATGCTGTGTCCCCACTGCCACCACAGCCACTTCTGTTCTGACTTCTTTCTCCATAAACTGCTTTTAGCCATTGCTGAACATCACGTAAATGGAATCCGGCAGTGTTGGGTCCCGCATCTTTGGTGTCAGTCATACCGGGGCATCTCTTGGAATGTCTGTTCTGTCCCACCGGTATATGGTCTGTCCTTGCACTAAGGCACTCTCTTGCTTTCTTAGCCCTCCCATCCCAGCTTCTAGGCTGTGTGTGACTTGGAGAGTACTTTGGTATTCAGTGATGGTGTCATTAAATACTGACTTCTACAGCAACCTCAGGCAGGGCCGTGGGCTGTGTGCTCCACTGTGCTGCTGGTGACTGTCAGTGATGGTGGGGCTGGAGCAGGAATAGGCTAGAGATTAATCTTTCATGCCTCTTACTAGCTGACATCAAATCCCAGGCCTTGAGAGACTTATGGTACACATTCCAGAAGGCTTAGGTGGACCTCAGAGATTCCATAGGCCCGGTAGACTCCCTATGCCAGTCCTGGAGTGACCCTCCCTCGTGAGGACAGCCTGGCTTGGCTGTAAGCCTTTCTTATGGAGGGATGTAGAAGGGACACGTAGGAGTAGCAAGAAACGAAAATCTTTACTCCACTTCCTGGTGGTGCTGTCGTAGGTGCATCTGGGCTGTGACGAACTGTGACTCTGCTGGAAGGTGGTTCTAGAAACCAGAGCCCCGGGACTCCCTGTGGAGTCAACACCAGTCCACCTTGAAGAGACTGACTTACCATGAAGCATCCTCGCTTGTGAGGACCTGAAGACCAGTGTAACTAGCCAGTAACTGATAGGCTCAGAGGAGGAGAGGCCAGGTGAGGAGGCAAGCTGGTTGATGCTGCGGCCTTGCAGTGCCTTGCTTTGTGACCCAGGCAAATCATATCTCCTCTCTTGTCCTCAGTTTCTCTTTGAAGGTGTTTGAGTAGCTGGCCTCTTCACCAAGGCTCCTTGCTACTCAAATATTTTACAGAAGTGATTCTTCACCTCTGTGGGTGTTGTGACAAGTTCACGAACTGTCTATTCAAACTTCTCCAGAATGTTGGCTAACCATGCAGCCCTTCCTTTTCTCCAATTTTGATTTGCTAACTTAGGTTGTTAACCCTCCAGAAGAGAAGCTAATTATTAACCTGCAACAGGGCTACAGGATAAATCCTGAGAGTACTTGGCTCACCTTATCAGATACAAAAGTTACATTTCTTGTTATATAGGTCTTGCTATATCTTGGTCTTAACCATCCAGCAGAAAAGTATAAAAATGAGGTATGTAAAGTAAATCCATATTAATACGATGAGCTGTAAAAGGCTCAAGTCAATAACTTTTGAGGATAACCCACTAATATTATAGATTGCTAGACAGTGTTCAATTGTTTAGTTGAATTCAAACACCTATAGTATTTAGATGCCAATAGAATATTCACCTCTGACAGGACAAAAAAAAAAAAAGGATACAAAGGAAAGATCATTTTGTATTTATATATACAAAATAGGATAAATTTACAGCTACTTTCGCTTAATTCAATGAGAAGAAAGAGGTGTACTAACAGTGTTTGGACAGAATATCCTGTCTGCTTTTTGTACTATGGATAACCACTAAGAAGATTACAAGGTACAGTGTATTGATTATCAAAACTGTCCTATTAATCAGCTGTGAAACTCTCTCATTCATATTTATTTCTCAATAAAAAAAATAAAAAAATAAAAAACTTCTCCAGAAGCATGAGGAGAGCGTCCTCCCCAGTGCGGGTTTCTGGGTGTTACTGCAACTTATCCGTCGGAATCTGGGGTGGGAAGGATTGTGCAGGGCTGAAGGATCTTCACTTTAACTGACTCTCCAGGTTGCTCACTCTCTGAAGCTCAGAAGAGCCCCAACCCCTCACCCCGTCTTGAAGCACGGACCCAGGTCATCCTTCAGAGCTCACCTGCTGTTCGTACCTCCAGGCATGAGGTGGCGCTGCCAGGTGTGCTCACC